ATAGATTGAACATGAAGCTTGAAGGAGAGGTCGGAGTCAAAGAGAACACCTAGGCAGCGAACCTGCGTGATGGAGCTGATGGTAGCACCGTTGACTTGGAGGGAGACAGACACAGGAGTAACAACACTTGAGGGAGGAAAGACCAGAATTTCAATTTTGGTCAAGTTTAGTTTAAGGAAATGGACAGCCATTCAGTTAGAAACAGCAGAGAGGCAGTCAGAGACACTAGTCAAGAGAGACGGGGAGAGATCAGGAGGACAGGTAGATTTGCGTGTCATCTGCATAGAAATGATATTGGAAGCCAAAGGAGCTAATGAGTTTACCAAGGGAGGCAGTATAGATGGAGAACAGTAGGGGAACAAGGACTGAACCTTGGGGAACACCAACAGAGAGGAGTTGGGGAGAAGAAGCAGAGCCAGAGAAAGAAACACTGAAAGAGCGCTGGGAGAGGTAGGAGGAGCACCAGGAGAGAGCAATATTTTGTAGACCGATATTGCGGAGGATGAGAAGAAGCTGTTGATAATTAACAGTGTCAAAAGCCGCAGACAGGTCAAGGAGAATTAGGATAGAGTAGTGACCACGAGATTTTGCAGTGAGTAGATCATTGGATACTTTGGTCAGTGCCGTTTCCACAGAGTGCTTAGCGCGGAAACCAGACTGAAGCGGGTCTAGCAGAGAGTTGGACTCGAGAAAGTCTGTCAATCTCGCATACACAGGATCCTGGATGCAAAAGGCAGTAGCGAGATAGGGCGATAGTTGGACAGTAAGTTAGGGTCAAGGTTGGGCTTCTTTAGAATTGGGGTTACAGTTGCATGTTTGAAGGGCGATGGAAATATACCAGAGGAGAGGGATTGATTGAGAATTTTAGTAAGAGGTGGAGAAAGAGAAGAAGACAGAGTACGGATAAGATGCAAGGGAATTGGATCTAGGGAGCAGGTGGTGGGGCTGGAGGACTGGAGCAGAGCAGAAACCTCTTCCAATGTAGCAGGTGCGAATGAACATAGAACAGCAGAGGGAGTGAAGTTAGGGAAAGTATTGACGTATATATAAATTATTAGATGGAGTAGATATAATATATTATTAGATGGAGTATATAATATATAGATTATTAGATGATATTATTATATATATACAATATTAGAAATTATATATAGATTATATTATTATATATATAGATTATTAGATGGGGTATACAGTATATAATAGATTATTAGATGCTATTATATGTATATATATATATATATTATTAGATACAGTATATATACTATAAATAGAAAGAGAATATAATAAATAGATTATTATATTATTATATAATTAGATTATTAGATGATATATATAATTAAATTATTCGATGCTATTATTATATAAATAGATTATATTATGATATAAATAGATTATTATATTGTTATATAATTAGATTATTAGATGACAATATTATATATAAATAATAATATTATATAATTAGATTATTAGATGATATATATATAATTAGATTATTCGATGATATTATTATATAGATAGATTCTATTATGATATAAATAGATTAGTATATTATTATATAATTAGATTATTAGATGATAATATTATATATAAATAATTATATCATATAATTAGATTATTAGGTGATAGCTTTATATATATAAATAGTTATAGTATTATATAATTAGATTATTAGATGATATTATTATATGTAATTATATTATTATATAAATAGATTATTATTATATTATTATTATATAGGTTATTATTATTAGTATTAATTATTATTATATTATTATTTAAATAGAGTATTATATTATTATTATATTATTTAATTATATTATTATTATATAAATATATTATATGATTTTATTATTATAATTATATCATTATTATATTATTATATTATTATTATATAAATAGATTATTATATTATTTTATTATTATATAGATTATTATATTATTATTATAATACTAATATTATATTATTATTATATTATTATTATATAAATAGATTATTATATTATTTTATTATTATATAATTATTATTATATTATTATTATTTATTATTATTATAGACAGGGCCGGATTAACATAGGGGCTGATGGAGCTGCAGCTCCAGGCCCAGGCCCATGGAATAGGCCCATAGATTTATAAAAAAAAAAAAAAAAATTTTTTTTTTTTTTTTTAACATTTTTTTTTTCACACACTACTCTTAGGAATTCCACCTGGCTTTTATTTTATTGGCACAGCTAGTATTTGAGGCTGCCTGGCTGGTGCAAATATTACAGTGATACTGGCAATACAAATGCTGGTATTTTTCTCAGTATAAACAAGAGATTACTATGCAATACCAGCACAGGCCAGTAGGGTCACTGTGTGTGGAGACAGGCAGTGATAGGAAGTTCCAGCATATCCCTCCCTGCCTATCTATACTCACTGATCTGCAGGGGTGCAGCTACAGAGAGTCCAGACAGCAACTCCCACCCTGCAGAGACAGCCTACAGCTCAGGGAAGTAAGGAATGGGGGGGGGGGAAGGCTGCAAGGAGACATGGGGACACTGAGACACTAAGGGAAATTGGGAGACATTATGACACAGACACATGGGGGCACAGTGTCCCCATGTCTCCCAGTGTCCCCATGTCTCCCAGCCAGTGTCCCTGGTGTCTCAGTTCCCCCTAGTCTCCCAGTGCCCAGAGTCTGCCAGTGTCTCACTGTCCCCATGTCTCCTAGTGCCTCCATGTCTCCCAGTGCCTCAATGTCCCCATGTCTCCAAGCTAGTGTCCCTAGTGTCTGTGGCCCTGGTGTCTCCTTGTCCCCATGTTTCCCAGTGCCCCCATGTCCCCCAGCCAGTGTCTCTAGTGTCTGTGTCCCTGGTGTCTGTGTCCCCATGTCAAGTGTCCCCTATTTTCCCAGTGTCCCCATGCGTCCCAGCCAGAGTCCCCTAGTCTCCCAGTGTCACTGGTGTCTCCGTGTCCCTAGGTCTCCCCGTGTCCCCAGGTCTTCCCGTCTTCCTAGTGACATAGGGACCCTGGGATACATGGGGACACAGGGAGACATGGGGCATTGAGACACTGTGATACATAGGATCACTGGGAGACCTGGGGACACGACACTAGGAGACATGGGGCACTGAGACACTGATACATAGGAACACTGAGACCTGGAGTAATCGACACATGGGGGCACTGGGAGACATGGGGCCACATGGGGCCATCTATACAGCAGAATCAAACTAAGTAGTTTTTTGATGATTTTACAGCATTTTCTCTTATGCCACTCCTTATGATTTACATCATGTGATGTCACCCATACATATTTAATTATGCAAATTAGGAAGGCCGGTATGTTTTTCCAAGAAAGGTGGCAACCCTAACTACTTTTCACATACTCTTACTTAAGTATGGAAACTTAAGAGGGATGTATGGGAACAAAACTTGTGTGGACTGGCTGACAATGAATATAGTTAAAGGGACACTAGAGTCACCAGAACAACTACAGCTTATTGAATTTGTTCTGGTGAGTAGAATCATTACTGTCAGGCTTTTTGCTGTAAACACTGTCTTTTCAGAGAAAATGCAGTCTTTACATTACAGCCTAGTGATAACTTCACTGGATACTCCTTAGATGGCTGTTATAGATCCTTCCTGGGTCATGGATGCCTAAAATGCATCCAAACATTCAGTGTCTCCTCCCTCTGCATGCAGACACTGAACTTTCCTCATAGAGATTCATTGATTCAATTCATCTCTATGAGGAGATGCTGATTGGCCACGGCTGTGTTTGAATCATGCTGGCTCTGCCCCTGATCTGCCTCTTTGTCAGTCTCAGCCAATCCTATGGGGAAGCACTGTGATTGGATTAGGCGACCACTTCTAATGATGTCAGCAGACTGCTTGTTTTTCTGAGTCTAACAGCATGCAGAGTTACAGCTTCAGGCTTAAATACAGTAAGATTTTGCTATATTTATCGAGGCATGAGGGGCCCAGGGGGGGCTAGATGGTGGTGTTAACACTATAGGGTCATGAATTCATGTTTGTGTTCCTGACCCTATAGTGATCCTTTAAGGTAATGCTGTCTTTGATCTCTCTAACACTGTGGCATGTTCCCTTTCTTCTACACTCACTACATACAGCTTTTCTCTGTCCCAGACTGTATACCAGGAGCTTCTGCCTGCTGGTAAGAAGGTAAGGAGACAAGTGACCAGCGGGTGCTAGGGGACAGTCCTTAGAAAGCATTGAGCGAGCGCATCATTAGATGCATTTATGCCAAGCTCAGGGTGCTGTCTGCGTAGTATGCCCTTAGTTGGCCAGCTGCATGACTGGCAGGCAGCCTGACATGCATTCATACCAGGCTGGTCTTCTAATTCTTTGGGCAGACATATCCTCTTTTTGGGCATGTTCGCCCCTTTTGGCAGGTTACGTGATTTGTGTCAGTGGCACACCCTTTTACCATGCCCATTGACTTCCAGCTTGACTGGACACTGCTGTTAGGGGTTATGGATTACTTGAAAGATGAAAACATAAATTAGAGAGAGATTAGCCTAGGGTATGTGTTTTCTTATAGCTGCTGTTTTCTTTCTCTCCAGCACTATCTCCATCAGATACATGACGCTTGGGAGTGTTTTACTGTTTTTGGTCGATATGATTCTGTAATTAGGCCCGTCATAATTGTCAGCACCAGGTCCACTGGGCTCTTAATCTGGCCCTGATTATAGAGTGTCTAGCTGAGCTGCAGTTACTGAAGCTGAATGTTAGTGCTGGTCACGTGGTCCCCTCTCCGCACACTGATGCATCTATTCCATGGCAACAGACTCTAGTCACGACCTATTTCTGATTGGCTGCGCTTATCTCCCGCCCAACTCTCCCACCGTCTCCTTCTCTCATTGGCTTAGCGTAGTGTCATTAGGCGAAAGGGCGGGCTCATTTCTCAGTTCTGTTTCGCTATTGGTCGACTATGACGTCAATGTTCGCGCTGATTGGTCGGATTTGGTTTTCCTTGTGGATGGGCAGGAGGGCTCCCCCAGTCCTGGCCGTGACGTCAGGTGCGGTTGCCGCCATTTTGGATCGGAGTGCGCGGGGGTCTGACGGACTGAGCTTCCCGGTGGGATAGGGCCTTCGTGTCGGTTTGGGTTCCCCCTCCTGTCCCTCAGGCCGCACCATGTCCGATAAACACGGCGGAGACCCGCAGCTGGAGGAGACCGGCGAGGAGAAGCAGGTAATGGCGGACCCTCCCTGCCAGAGATCCGGGGAGTGAGCTGTCACCACAGGGGGGAACCGGGGGAGTGAGCTGTCACCACAGGGGGGAACCGGGGGGGAGCCTGGGGATACCGGGGGGGCCCTCACTGCCAGCTGGGGCAGGGATACAGGGGAAGGGGCCCTTACTGCCAGCTGGGACAGGGATACAGGGGAAGGGGCCCTTACTGCCAGCTGGGGCAGGGATACAGGGGAAGGGACCCTTACTGCCAGCTGGGGCAGGGATACAGGGGAAGGGGCCCTTACTGCCAGCTGGGGCAGGGATACAGGGGAAGGGGCCCTCACTGCCAGCTGGGACAGGGATACAGGGGAAGGGGCCCTTACTGCCAGCTGGGGCAGGGATACAGGGGAAGGGGCCCTTACTGCCAGCTGGGGCAGGGATACAGGGGAAGGGGCCCTTACTGCCAGCTGGGGCAGGGATACAGGGGAAGGGGCCCTTACTGCCAGCTGGGGCAGGGATACAGGGGAAGGGGCCCTCACTGCCAGCTGGGGCAGGGATACAGGGGAAGGGGCCCTCACTGCCAGCTGGGGCAGGGATACAGGGGAAGGGGCCCTTACTGCCAGCTGGGGCAGGGATACAGGGGAAGGGGCCCTTACTGCCAGCTGGGGCAGGGATACAGGGGAAGGGGCCCTTACTGCCAGCTGCGGCAGGGATACAGGGGAAGGGGCCCTTACTGCCAGCTGGGGCAGGGATACAGGGGAGCGGGTCCTTACTGCCAGCTGGGGCAGGGATACAGGGGAAGGGGCCCTCAGTGCCAGCTGGGGCAGAGATACAGGGGAAGGGGGCCTTACTGCCAGCTGAGCTCAGTGCTGGGACCCACAGGGTGTGAGCTGTCACCACAGGAGGGAACCTGGGATACTAAAGGGTTCCCTGGAATGGTTGATAGGGGGTTTTCCTTTAATTGCTTATATGGTGGGGATTCCTGGTATGGTTGATATTTTTCGTGGGGGTTCCTTGAGGTGACTGATATGAGAGTGTGGGAAGTTCACTGGGATGGTCGATCTAGGGGTCGGGGAGGGGGATTGTAACGTTTATTACAGTCATTCTGGGGGAACCCACCCAAAATCAGCTTGAAAAAGCAGATTTTGGGTGGGTTTCCCCAGAATGACTGTGGGAAAATTGCTCTCGAATGACTGTTATGGGGGGTGAAGGGGGAGCGGATGTTGATTCTGATTCCCCCCGACATTGCTGATTTGTGGAGGTTCCCTCCGACATTGCTGATAGTGGTTATGGTGCCAGGAGTGCTCTGGTGGTGTCACATACTAAGTAGTCTGTTTGCAAGTGGCTCGACAACTTCCCTGGGGTCCAGTCATCTCCTGGTATGATACATACTCGCTGGTGCTAGACCTTCTGGTGTGATGGAAGTGCTCGCTGGTGCTTGACCTTGTGGTGCGATGGACGTGCTCGCTGGTGCTTGACCTTGTGGTGCGATGGACGTGCTCGCTGGTGCTTGACCTTGTGGTGCGATGGACGTGCTCGCTGGTGCTTGACCTTGTGGTGCGATGGACGTGCTCGCTGGTGCTTGACCTTGTGGTGCGATGGACGTGCTCGCTGGTGCTTGACCTTGTGGTGCGATGGACGTGCTCGCCCTTGTGGTGCGATGGACGTGCTCGCTGGTGCTTGACCTTGTGGGATACAAGTTTGTGTTGCTTTAAGGATAATCTCTTGTTATCCTTTATTAGTGTTAGCCACTGCACGCTGGACACAGTCGGCTAATGTATCTCAGCTACTTTTTTAGAACATCAGTGAAGAGGATCAAAGGCCTATTATTATCTGCAAGATAGATCTGTGCTCTATATATTTGTGTATTTAAAAAGATTTGTGGTGGGGAAAAAAGTGTGGATGAAAACCCCTTCCAGCTGAAGTAAGTGGCTAGTTAATACATTGCTAAACACAAATACACTCACCAGTCAAGCCATAGGCCAGTAACCAACCTCATGCTGATGAGTTGCATTAACAACGAAACAGCTGTCCAAGAGTGATTCACTGGCTTTGCTCCTCTTCCTAAGTTGTGTTTCAAAGCTGTTGTATACAGCAGACACATACTCCAAGGAATCCATGTATAAAGTGGCATTATGAGGCAAAAATGTGGGTCTTTGTTGAGCTAATTTGCATACGCTTACCCAGAATCCCTTGCAGTAGTGAGAGCACTGTTAAAGTGAGATTTCTGTGGGAAAAGCAAATCTTGTGGCTGGACTGGTGTGTGTGTATTTGTGCTTAGCAATGTATTAACTATGTGTTTAAAAACAAAGATGTGTAATGTCCTTATTAAAGGAACACAGTCATCTTTATTTATGCCTTCAACTAATATTAATTTTATCTTAATGCATCTTAGGTTAGAGTGTAAGCTATGATCACCCAGTGTTTGCTCTTTTCCAACTGTGCATTGCTGTTTAAAATTCTGCAGAAAAAGCAAATGATTTTGAAAAGCAGTAGTTTAGTGTCAAACCTCTGCTACAAGCATTTTGAAGAAACCCAATGTATTAACATTTCTTCAACACACACAGAGAAAGATGGGTTTTGAGTAGGAGGCGAACATAACAAGCGAAACTCCCACCCTGCATTCCCAATCGTATAAGTATTTATTGTTCTCAAAGCGTATGGCACTTTGCATTGTGCATATACAGTCTCCGTGACATGAAATCCCCTTGGCCTGATATGACTTTATTTTTTGTCCAATCTCAGTGTCTGTCCTGGGGCTGCACTATCAGGCAGTGATATTCAATGCTATTTACTAAACCACTTGAATTGTTCCAATTAATCTGTTTTAGTATACAATTCTCAATTCCCTGATGAGTTCAAACTATTTACCATGACTCTTTGAATAATCTTAGTCAAATGTTATATGTACACTCCAGACCCAAAATCAACTTTAGCTGAAAAGCTTTGTGGGAAGGGAAGAGTGGTTGTTTCTTTTTTGGGTTGTGGTTTTTTTTTTTTTTTCTTTTTTTTTTTTTTTAAAGAGAAGATTTTAATAGAAACTGAAATTTTTTTAATTTATTTTTTATAAATAACATTGTTACACTTGGCTGCATATCAGACAGGTCCTGTTAGTGGATGAGTCCAGGCCCAGGGCAAAGGGAGTGGCTGGAATGCAATCTATAATCCAAATATAGCTATTATTTTCAGTTCCCTTTAGAGGTACTCCTCACTTACCGACCGGGTCCTGTTCTTACGAGCCGGTTATAAAACAAATTGGTCGGTAAGTGAGGTCTATGTTTTCGGAATTTTCTCCGAACGTAGATTAGAGGGATTCCCTGCTCTGGTGCACTTGTCTATGTTCAGGGAAACTGGAACGTAGACATATGCACCAGAGCAGGGAAAATTCCCCAAACATAGACCAGCTCTTTAACGTGGGGAATCTCTTGAATCCCCATGCTAGAGAGTTGGTCATAAAACAGGTAGGTCGTAAAGTGAGGACCACCTGTAATAATAACCTTTTGAACACTTTAATGGGGTGCTCCGTCCAGTACAGGAGGCCATGCTGATTATGGTCATAGTCATTTTTATTTAAAGCGTCACTATAGGCACTAAAACTTTTAGCTTTATGAAGTAGATTTGATGTATAGAGAATTGCCCCTACAGTCTCTTTGCTCAATTCTCTATTTAGGAGTTAAATCACTTTGGTTACTGTTTATGCAGGCCTAACCACACCTCCCCTGAATGACTGACACAGCCTGCATGAAAACTAAATGGTTGCCCTTTCAAAAGATGTTAACTTAATGTAGAGATTTTTATTTATTGCTCTGTAATTTGGAGAAAGTGTAAACACTAGATCTATCTTTACAGCAAGTGTTTAGGAAGGCTGCGTACCTCGCATGCAGGGAGTTGTGACTGGCGCTGTATAAACAAAGTGATTTACCTCCTAAATGGCAGAGAATTAAGCAGTGAGATTGCAGGGACATGATCAATAGAACAAAACTGATTCCTTTAATTTCTACACTGGGTGAATTTTTTTTTTTTTTTTTACCACATAAGGCAAGCATCCATAAGTCCAACTTGATATATATAGGTGACGGTGCACAAAAGTATTATTTTTTTTATTATTTATTTATTTATTTCCTATCTACGTCAAATTGTGGGGACTTTTGTCGTGCTTGATCCCTCCATAAATCATTTGGTACGTAGCTAAATTTTGAATTGTTCTTCCCTGATTAAATCTCTTTGTCACGTGATTGCATTTTGTTCCCAATAATATACTTTGTCCTTTTTTTTTTTTTTTTTTTTTAAATATCACTTTTTAAAGAATTATTGATCCATGCTTTTTTGGCTGTATTGGCATGAAATATCAATGGGCTTATAATGCTGGGTCAATTGCAAATTGAATTTGTGTGAATACATATAAAGATTTGATATGAAATATAAAACTTTGCAGGTCTCTATAGCATTAATACGCAAGACCCTGTATTTACCCTTTCTCTTCCTTGGTATAAATTTATTACATTCTTATTTCCTCTGTTTCAGGATTCACAGGAGAAGGAAGCAGTTACCCCAGAAAAAGCAGAGGAGCAGAAACTAAAGGCCAAGTACCCCAATCTGGGGCAGAAACCTGGAGGTTCAGACTTCCTGATGAAAAGGCTTCAGAAAGGGGTATGTAAATGTAGCGGTTTGCCACTGGGCCATTTTCATAGCCTTTTAGGCAGTATGATGAGCTGATAATGCTTAGCTGAACATTAACTACTTTTGTGGCCTGTCTGACTGTTAAAACACAAAGGTTATTAAGCTTAATGTCTCGCCAGGTCATTTAGTGTCAGTTACCACTCAAAATATTCCCAGTGGGAGTTACTCACCTGCTAAGGTCAGAGGCAGCCTGATTGCTTTTGGCTAATATTCTGGTCAAATTAAGTGTCTTAACCAACATGGTTTGTAGGCATATTCACAGAATTGTAGAGAGTTTAAACCCAAGCTGCAGATCTAGGATAAAATAGTCAAACTATTATATTGCTTCACTCAAATGGCAGACTTTCTGTAAATGTGTTACCCCAAACAGTCATACTCAATATACAAAGAGATCAGTATAAATAAAGGGGCACTGTAAACACCATCACCACTGCACTTGTGTGTGTGTGTGTATATAGGTTATAGTGCTAAACACCCATCGTGGGTACAGGCTGAGGGGAATATTGGGGTGGTTCCTGCTGACAACAAGCATCCAATGTGCACAGAATAGACATTAGCTAGTGTTTTTATTCGTTTTGTCAGGGCTGTGACAAAATAAACAGATTGTGCTGATTGAAGGCAAATATGTAAATTGTAGGCCGACTGATGTCACCTTCTCCAACCTTGATATTTACTTGGTTATTTACCAAAGTGGGAATTTAAAATTTAAGGCAAAAATAGCCAAAATGGAACATTCTCCAAGTCACCTAATGCGTACATTATAGCTAATTTCACCTTCAATTTGGGATTTACTTAAGCAATTCCTACTTCAGTCTGTTACCCTGTGCGTTTGCCAGTGTGCTGCCCAATGAGTAAACCCTTCCGTTGGTGTTTAATGTTTCTCTGCGTGCCTCTAGTCCTGAGAGCCAGCATTCTGTAAATATTGTCCACAATGTTCCCTAGCTCGCACAGTCAAAACAAAGTAAATATTCTTCAGTTTCCAATCCTCCCAAGTTCAGTTCTTTCTTTCTTAACTGGTTCATAACAGGATTTGTAATTGTATTTTTTATTCTTTTTGTGACCGTATGTGCCAGAATGGGGCACCCCTTAGCAGATAGGGATTAGTAACTCTTCAGAGAGAGGAAGCGATCTGTTGCTGTTTTTCATTTTTTAGAGAAACACACTGCTATACACACACTCTGCATTCATTATATACACTACACAAATACACACAGCTCCCCTGTCTAAACACACTACATGTGGCATGTGTATTTTGTGCATTTACCTTTTAGAAATAGTTTATATTTTCAAAATGGTAAATGCACAGAATATCAGTAAGTTTTTGCCTATCTGCCTGAAAGTTCACAGATCATCGGTATCTGCTCTAACAAAAAACAAATCGGTCAATACCTACTAAGTATATTGTTATTTTGGTTGTTTGGCAAGTCATTATTTCTCACTGTCCATGTATATCAATGTTTAATCTGACATTCTAGGCTCATGCATTGCAAAATTAGCTGCTGCCCTGGGAAGTTAAATGTAGTGCAAGTGAATGACAGCCATGCTAACATTACACAAAATTGTAATGTAACACACGTGCTCCCCAGTGGGTAAGCAAATATAAAGTGGATTCATCCTTTTGAGAGTGTAAGAAGATCCCTCTAATCTTCTTAATGAAATACAATCTACAAAAATAAGAACAGGCAGAAACCAGAAATGGTGTAGTATGTTAAAACCACAAATGCGCTTGTATAATGCAGATATTTAGAGGGTTCAGATATTCTTCCTTTCCAACCTTAATTAAGAGGGAGAGACACAGGAAACATAGAGCACAAAATAAAATGAATGACATAAATTTTATTCAGATATCACTCACAAGATAAATGATAAAAATCCAGCGTATCAGAAACTCAGGTATTCCCAGTGCCGATGTCACTTCTCCTGGGGGCAAGTATTTGAAGAAGCTGGATAAAAAAAGTAAAATAAAATAAGACTAAATTGTACAAATGCACAGTAAATAAATACAAAAATAAAGATCCAATGAAACGAGTGTAGGTGCTGCCTTGGTCTCCACCCTACGCGTTTCGTTCTGAACAGGACTTCCTCAGGGAAAAATCAAGGTGTGTAGTATGGTCTCCTCTGTCTGCTTTTTAAATGTGAGGGTAGAATCTCCCGCCATTAGAACAATCACGATGTGTCCTTGTTTATACAAATCACCTGTGTTTAATCTTCCGGGATCCAATCTTCTTTCTGGGTTTGCGTTTCAAAATAGCTACATCCGGTATCACGTGGAACACAACTTGCGTTCCACGATCATATACCTGGAAGTCCAAAAGTATGTGTATAAGCCATGCTAACCTACCCACTTAATGCTCTTTGTACTCTCTCCCACCCAGGGACCAAACTAGCTGCAGCTCAGCCATGTTAAATTAAACTTTGTGTCTCTCCATTTGCTGGTTTACCACACAACGTGTGTTATTTTTTATAATACGTGTGTGTGTGTGTGTATGTATGTTATTGTACAGCGCTGCGGAATTTGTTGATGCTTTATAAATAACTTCTATAAATATTCTGTGAATCAGTAGGAACTGCTAGCAGTTGTCTCATTCGTTGGAAGAAAAAAATAAACATTACAAGCGAAGTTAAAGGACGTCACCATTGGCTGCCATTTTATTCTCTCCCTACTAAATGAGAAGACTGCGTGCAGCTGTGTTTGGTTGTATTCCTGCTGAAACATGCAGCTACCTGGATTGAATCTGCACATTGTGTTGGCAAACTTACAAGCAAGCTTTTTAATAATGTAATCTATAAGTTTTTTGACAATTTAGCCAATGCTGCATAGCTGAAATTGTATTTCCTGTAATGTGATGCCAAATCATGTCTGATGTGGTAGTGTTCTAACTAGAATAAAAACAGGTGTACAAACATGGGTTCTAACCAGTGTAGAAATGGGTGTAGAAAACATGGGTTCTGATCGGTGAATACTAGGAAATTCTGATTAAACAAATTATTGTAGCATTCCCCTTATCCATGCCCTGTGCGACTCATAGCTAGAATGAATCTGGACAGACAAAACTGAAGACATTTCTTTCCATACATTTTCTGGTAAAATGTAGCATGTAGCTTTAGTTATACTTGTGCTGTATGCGGCATAATAGTGGGAACATAGGCCTTAGCTATGTTGCAGTTGAGTGATAATGACAATGTAGCAGTGTGTCCCTGTTCTCTATACTGTAGCTCAGGACTTGCAATCTCAAGTCCCACACCACTAGCTAATCTCTATGTACTTGCCGCTGCAAGCTTGGAGAGTCCATGTCACTCGGTGTTTACTTTCCTCTCGCCAGGGCTAATTTTTCAATCACCAGTGGGGAGTGGTAAGTGCACATTTTCAGTCCTGCTATTGTTGTTAAGACATAACTGGCAACATAGAAAGGAGGGTGGTTCATCCTTCTACAAATCACTGCTACTAGGCTTCTATAAAGAGTAAGGATATATAGTCTCTCTTCATTTCTAGTCAGGAATTCTGAAAAACAAGGACACTTCTTACTCAGGTCTCTATCATCCATACCTTTCCATCTGCCTGTTGTAGCCATGTTACTTATGTCTGTATCATGAGAAGGATTTGCTGAATTTCTGATGTGACTTCTCCCCTTTTTTTTTTTTTTTTTTCTGTTTCAGCAAAAATACTTTGACTCTGGAGACTACAACATGGCCAAAGCCAAAATGAAGAACAAGCAGCTACCTTGTGCTGGGCCTGATAAAAATCTGGTAACGGGAGACCACATCCCAACGCCACAGGACCTCCCGCAGAGGAAATCTTCCTTGGTCACCAGCAAGCTGGCAGGGTAGCCCACCCTTCCCTCTGCTGCTCCAGAATGGACATGTCCGCAGTTAACTGTACCATAGAGCTGGGATGGCTGGACTTTCATATAATGGCATCTATCTGTCCGTGCTAGAAGGGCCAGTGCAATGTTGTTCGACAATTTTGCACTGGCCCTTTTATCCACGACAGTTAAACTTCAAGCAAGCCAGCAAGATGCCGCATGAATTAAGATTTGCAGTGGGTGGCAGGCGATTGTGATAAGCTGTCGGCGCAAGAGCATTTTCTCTGATTTTGATGACAAGTGTTAAATAGTGTAAGATATAAATTTGGGGGGTTGCGTTCCCGTGTGTGTGTGTGTTGTGCAGGCTTGACTTGGCAACACTCTTGAAAGTTAACATAATGAAATGCTCCTTCGAGGGGCCAAATATAATGGACATCTTCCCCGGTAAAAGCAAGAAGATCACATCTTCTGAATTGTCCAGATGCCTCTCCATTGTAGTAAGATGTGGTTGTATAGTGGCTGTACATCTGCAAAGAGTAGGAGTGTATGTTAGCCACAAGCCACACAGGGATTACAGGAATAAGTTTTGAGAAGGCTTAGAATTCACTGCTTATTCTGTGTAGATCATAAGTTGACTTTCCTTCTTATTACCGATAGTAAAGCAATGTAGATGTTGGGTGTAGGATGTACTAGGATTGGCACTCTGCAGTCTACTTCTGTTTTAGGTCCTCATGCCGTAAGCTGCCAGTTTTCTTTGAATGTTTTTCATTTCAGCATCTCTACAAACTTTCTAGTTTAATTTTACATTCTGGTGACTTATGAGTGATCCTTGTATTGGTGTGAAAAGGTTGTTGTATTCAGCGCTTAGTGACCAGTAGGTATAGGGAAGGTAAAATGATAAAAGGCTGCAACCTTAAGAGTATGATGTTCCCTCACAAACCATCAAAGGAGTACAAATGTAAAAACAGAAGGTAATAGGTCGCGCCACAAATAATATAGTATAATAAAAAACAATGAGTACTTACATAAAATGTATAAAGGAGAGACCTGAGTAAAATAGTATGGAAAAAGTCCAAGTTGATTGAATATAATGAATCTTATGGGTTCTGAGATAATCCAATGTCCAGATGACGTAGAGGATTGAATATAATCTTTCTAAATTCAAAAATAGACTCTGCCTCTGGTTTGCAGTCTTACACTATTGGATCTTTCTCTCCTTTACATGCCTGTACGTCATCTGGACATTGGATTATCTCAGAACCCATAAGATTTATTATATTCATTCAATCAACTTGAACTTTTTCTCTTTTATCCATATTATTTTACGCAGGACTCTGTTCTCCTTTATACATTTTATGTAAGTACTCATTGTTTTTTATTGTTTGTTATTATGATATATTATTTGTGGCGCGACCTATTACCTTCTGTTTTTACATTTGTGATCCTTGTATTGGTTTCATGTTATAAGGGCGCTGTTTGGCCTATCGGATCATGAGAAATGTAGAACACTTCGGGTACGGGTAATCAATCTGGCTGGAATGCTATATTCGGGGTTTGTTTGGGGATGCAAAAGGCTGCACCCCCCTAAACTGTTGCTGTATTGTGGCTATGGTGACAGGGCTTTCGGTTCAACAATGGCTGCCCCCAAATTCTCATTTATTCATTGAAACAGTGGAACTAAATGTTTCGTGAAGTATTTTTCTGGAAACTTTCCAAACCTTTAGAAAATGTAAATGTCTCTGAGAAAACGCGAACAGTGTTGGACTGTTTCTTTCCTTTTTAAAATTTGTATTCCCTTTTATGTTTTCCATATCGACTTTTGCATTATTATAGAGAATACATCTCTAATACTATTATTTGATTCGTGGTGGAAATCTGTAGAATATCTAACTTTCCATTGCTTGTTGAGTTAGGGCAACACATTAGGTTCTTTTTTCAGGGTGTCTGTTGAAACATGCAGGCCTATTATGTCAGATTGTCACCTCAGGCATACTTTGTCATTATACAGCATTGGCATTATACAGATGTGATCAGTTGTGTTTACCCTTCCAGAAGCCCTGGATGATGAACACATTACACAAGCTTAAACCCACAGCATGCATAACTTGTAAATACATGCCTGCCTTTTCGATTATGCCAGGGAAAGCATATTGTCCTTTCCCAGGCTGATCTACATCCCCCATTTGTCCTTTTTAAAGTGAAACTGTCACTTGTAAGATAAACGCACAAATTGATAGCTAGTTAAGTTACCTATGGCTTGTGCTTTGTCTTATTTTTGGTACACATGCTCTGTCTGGCTGTACAGAAATGCCATGTAAATTTATATTAATCCCCTTGAGTGATGTGTACATGAGACATGCCCCAAATGTATTGTTGGGTTAGCAGTGACTTTTATTTTAGTTGTGTAATTTTTCCATAAATGCCTCCACTAAAAGATGGATGAATTCATTCTTCGCATTTCCTCCCGAGTAGAGAAAGTAAGAATTATAAGGTTTAGAAGAGTTTATTCCTTGAATTTCAAGTTACCACCTTGTCTTCTAAAGGCCTAGCTGCCTGCCCTGACATTTCAATCCTGGTTTATTGTGAGCTTACCTCTTAACATGAGCAGAAAGAGAACTGCTAATCTTGATGGTTAGAATGCACAAAGCTCTTCTGGCCTCTGAATAGGGCAGACAACATAAACTGTGGATTTTCGGCCACTAAGATATTTCCAAGTGATTCTAAAGCACAGCCACCAGTGAACAGGCCAAGGCAATCGGGACTTTCAGGGTGATTTACTGAAGTGAATTTGGAATTTAAAGCCAGAGTAGCGGAGCTGAAAACCAATTTAAATTTGAAACTCATTTGGCATTCTCACTTGAGTAAGTAGCCCTGTTTGTTTCATAGTAGCATAGAGTTTTGTGATAAATTGTCACAATGCTTGCTGCTGTCTCTCTCTCTTTCCATTTTAAAATAAATAAATTGTAACCGCTAAGATTATGTTTAATTGTACACTTACTAAAGAAAGGGTAGTGTAAGAGGATAGTAGTTTGGTCAGTGAAATGTGTATCAAGTGTTTACACAGCCGTTTTACATTTTATGGAACTTTTTGTGTGGTTTTGTTTTTTTTTGATTGCCAGAGTTACAGGTTGGTTGGTCTGAATCAACCAGTGAATAATGTTTAAGTGCCAGAAGCACGACTAGTTTATTACAATACTTTCTGTAGACTCTGCTAAAGCAAATATCACTGATTCCTGGCGTAATGTGATACAGTTAAATATCTCTGCTGATCGCTTGCTGGAAGTAAACAGAGGCTAGGGTGAAATATTTGTATGGGATTTTACCAGACTATTAAAGGGACACTATAGTCACCCGAACAACTACAGCTTAATGTAGTTGTTCTGGTGAGTATAATCATTGCCTTCAGGCATTTTCATGTAAACCCTGCCTTTTCAGAGAAAAGGCAGTGTTTACATTGCCCATAGGGACACCTCCAAGTGGCCAATCCTCAGATGGCCAATGGAGGTGCTTCCTGGCTCAGTGCTGCACAGTAGGCAGCAGTGCAGTTCAGCGTCTCCACGCTCTGCATGGGAATACTGAATTTTCCTCATAGTGATGCATTGATTCAATGCATCTCTATGAGGTGCTGATTTGGCCAAGCATTGGATTGGCAAAAAATCTGCAATTTTGATGTCACCAAGGGGGCAGGGCCAGCGCCGGCAGACCCGCGGAGAGCTGAAAATAAGGTGAGTTTTAACCCATTCTGAGGGGGAGCAAGCAACCTAAATGGTGGATTTTCACTATAGGGTCGGGAATATGTGTTTCTGTTCCTGACCCTATAGTGTTCCTTTCATCTTGTTGTATTAACAGTGCCTGAAATTTCCAGTCGGGTGCTTGTCATTGGCAAGTGATATTTTACTCTTGGGATGTGTCATGGCCTCCCCTTGCTGCCTGTGACGATCCCAGGCTTTTAGAGTGCAACATTATCAATGTGACACTAATGTAACGTGAGATCAGTACACCGGCAGTTTATAGCGCTGAAGAGGTTGTAGTAATCTTCCAATCAGCCCCACACATGGAGTTCTTCAAATACTGAAACAAACAGCCTGCATACTCTCCTGACCGCTGTATGGAGGAAAAATGTTATAATAAAGTTCCTCTCATCTCCCCATACATGTTGATTTGCAAGAGCACTTAACATGTTAATTACAGGGCAGTGATGTATAGACCTCCTGGTCACTTCCGAGTTACTTTTAAATCATGATTCTAATTTTATCTATTGCTGTGCTAGACAAATTGCTTGTTTAACTTAAGTTATTCGCAGTCTTTTTGTTCTGACTTCCTATTTGTAAAAGTTGTAAAAGCAACAAATATGGAGACCCCAGGCAGCTAAGCAAAGTATCCTGCAGTTCCTAGCATGCACCCACATGTTGTGCAAATCACTTGTACTTCTGGTTGGTCCGTTACCAGGGATGGCACAGTTGAAGTAACCTTTCAGCCTGACTTTTTGCCCAGATCTTGACGTTTTGAGCCCTGGTATTTTTACAGATTATTGTATGTTTTGATGCAAGGACATTATGGGTGCAGTCTCTCCAGTTTTCATGCCTCTGTTGCAGGTATCATAATAAAGCAGTTCACTGCCCTCCTGGTGAGTTCTAAATATTTGCACGAGTACGCTTGTGTGCCATAGTAAAATGGTATATAACACGATTCAGCCATGCCAAAACACTGCAGTGCTGCTGCCGCCAAATTGGCTCCTTATGTCAGTTTAACAGCATTGAAAGGGTCAGCAGTGACTTCAGTTGTGCCTGCAGGGCTGTATCCTGCTATAAGTCAGGGCCTGCACCCACAGTGTCCTTCCACTATAACCACTGCAATAAGCTGTAGTGGTTTTGGTGCTTAGAGTACCTTTAAGATTTTGTGTGTTTTGTACTTTCTGGGCACTAAACAAATGTGTCCGTGCTACCTGCAGGTGGCTGCCCAGCATATACACATCAACTGAAATTAGTCCGTTGATAATTTGTTTATTAGAAGGGATTTCATTCATTTTGGTCCGGCTCCTGATTTCTAAAAAGCCCCACCCACCAGTACCTCGTAATTTAGCCATTTCTAATTGGAGTGTTTGGGCATTTTAAGATCCCACCTCCTGTCTGATTAAATGAACCTCTTTGTGACCAGGGTTTGGAAAGGCACTCTTTCAATGGCATTCATGGCGTGGACTTATGATGGCAAGACGTCATCTGTGTTTCACGTATGATGAGCTCTACTAGGCAATTTTCAAATCACACGTATTTTCAAACATTTCGGACTCTGTCTCTTCAGGAATCTATAAGGATGGAGGTAATGTAGAAAATACACTACACCTGTGCTATGTATTATACTTTGTTCTGTCCAGCTCTTGCCGAATAAACACTGTTTACTACAGGAAATCTAGCCAGCACTTCCTGTCTGTATGGGGTTAAAGGATTTGGACTAAGAACCATTGTACATGTTGTAAATTAAAACTCTATGAATACAATTCATATCTTCATTGAAGTCAATTAATGTTTTTATTTGTGTACAGTCTGTTATTAAATGTCGCTCTGTCCCAGTCTCAATGTAAATAGCTCTGGAAATATATAAATATAATTTTTATAACCTTCATCTTTTTCTTACCGTCTACTTTTTATTTTTTCTTTCATTGGTTTTGTGTTAAATTTTACATATTGCATGCTCATATTTTTTTCAAAATAAATTAAAATGGGCTGCTTCAGACAGATTGTATAAATACCCTATGTGTGAAAGGCCTGTATTTCAGTTTATAGATTTAATACTTTCTTCCGTATTTATATATTTTTGTGGGTTTTTTGTTGCACTTGCATTTTATTTTAAGTAAACTTTTATTTTACTTTTTCACTTTTTTTTTTTTTTTTCTTCTTCTTCTCTCAAGTTACCTAATGGGGATTCTCTTACTGAATTAATTTAATGCTAAATCCAGTGGGTAATATTTTATTTATTCTCTCACTAAACCAGAAACTGATCAGAAAACTCACAGGGCTATTTTTTTTCAGTGCAACTATTTTTCCCTAAAACTTGAACTTTGTGGATTCGTTCTGGCTTTACTGAATACAAGTGACTCCTGAAAAGCTTTGTACACAGCTATCTTACCATCTGTCTTACTCTTGGTTGGTGGTTTGGTAGGGATGTGGTAAGTGATTCTGGCATTATGGAAGTAATCCAGATTTATCTATTCTTTATGTATTTTGCACAGCTCTATCACATACCTTTTTAAGAGTCTTTTTCTCATAAACTCACAAATTGTCACTTGACTGACGGCTGGACGCAGCAACCATCAAACCACATTACACACCAAAACTTGGATATTAATAATATGACTGTTTTTTAAATAAGGAACTACTTAAAACTATAGGCTTCTCTTCCTGTCAATCATTTAAAACGTGGATATGAGACCATATGGGGGAGAAAACATGTCTCCTTCCTTACATGTAACTTCCTCTGATAGACCCTAAAAACTGATCTATATTGTGTAATGTCAGCTCTTGGTAATGGGTATCTATTTCAGACGTATTATGCAGGTATACTACCGTCACATATACACACTGCTAACCTGATGACTGTGCGGTGCACTCCCCACCCAGATTAGGAGTTAAGTGGGGTATCTGCTGCATTGCAGCCATGTTGGAGAATTAATGGGAGTTGCAGTCCAACATCTGGATGAGTGGGCAAAGATGACTTTTTAATTTATGACTGCCTTTGTTATTGCAAAACACTGCGATGGATCCTCTAAGGTTAATGCATGTAACCATTCTGTGTCAATCAGTGTTTGCAGTTATAAGAATTAAGTTTAAAAACTGTCAGCTTGCATGTGACATGCACCTCTCTCTGGGTGGACTACACAACCTTTTAAACATTACTAATTCTTTTAAATTTAAAATTGGCCAAACAATGTCCATATTACTCTGCTAAAACAATTAGAAGGGAGCACACACTGGCATGTTTACCCCAGGTAAGGAGCATAGTGGCTGTTCTCATACTTGGTGGGCAGAGGTACGTCCGTATAGGAGCAGGGTGGAATAACAAGTACGTATGGGTTAATTAGATTGTAGTTCTCTTTCATATACTGTTTACAAATGAAGAGTACTATTTAAGACTTCAAAATTGGATTTTACTGCAATTGCATCTCCTATGAATGAGAGATTGCAGACTATACTTGAGGGGCAAAGGGGAAGTGTAACACTGGTATTAGTTTAGACCTTTTTGTTTGATTAAATTGAGATAGCAGCTACTACATTGAATGTGAAAACCTCCAAAAACACCCAGAAAGCTATACACACACCAGAGGTCGTTTTATTAGCTCAGGACTCAGGACTCAAGTTTATACTTGAGTGGAGGCTACCATCAAGGGTAAGCTTGGCACCAATGTTAATCCAACTTCTAGCGTAGCTTGCTCCTCAATATTAACGGGACAGTAAGCCTCATGATCACTACACCTTAATGCAGGCTTCCCCAATCTACAACTCCCCTTTGATTCTCAGTCTATCTAATTCATAGAATCATGGGAGTTGTAGTTCAACAACAGCTGGAGGGCAGGAGTTTGGGAAAGCCTGCGGTTTAATGTATGGCTCTAGTGCTTGACAGCAGGAGTGCCCAAAAGGTAGCTCTGCAGATGTTGTAGAACTACACCTCCCATGGTGCTTTGCATGCCTTTATAATGACAAAGCATCATGAAAGCTGTTTTAAACAGCTGGAGATCTACCTTTTGGGCACCCCTGGCTTAGTCGGTCCCTCCAGGGTTTTTTCTGAGAAAAGGCAGTGTTTACATTTTTTCACAAGGACACCTCTAGTGATTGTCACTGAGACAGCCATTAGGAGCTCTTTCCAGAACCAACATTCATAGTCTTCAAATTATGCCTGAAGATGCCAAATGCACCATCGAGGTGCGGATGCCTTCATTTAAATAAAAAAAAAAAACAACTAAGTTTTACATTTAGAATGCCTAACTTGGCAATCACAAAGTCAGGGGCCTGCAAGAAAAGAAACATTTTGACTGAAGGGAATGCACAGGGAGGGGAGGGGCACTAAAGCTTCTCCTTTCAGGCAAGTATTAAAGGGACACTACAGCCACCCAGACCACCTTATCTCATTAGATGGCGCTGGAATAGGTGAGTGGATGAAAGGGGCTGAGGGATGATGACAGAGAGTTTTTTTTTAGTGCCAGGAATACAAATCTGTATTCATAACACTAAAGCGTTCGTTTAGACTCGTTATGTCTGCTGTCTGTGTGCTGATGTCATTTTTCTACAGAATTGACCATATGCAGCACGGAATAGAGATCTGGGTTGCCTAAATCACGTGTGCCAGAGGTGAAACTAGCCCTCAGCACAAAAGTGCAAATATTTCTGGATTTGCAGTGTTCCAAGCAGAAACATTACGCATTCCTACTACTATTTAAATTAATTTTAAAGGGACACTCCAGGCCAGAGCTTGCTAAAGTGCTTCTTAAAGGACCACTATAGTGCCAGGAAAACATACTCTTTTTCCTGGCACTATAGTGCCCCCACCCTCAGGGACTCCCTCCCGCCGGGCTCTGGGGAGAGGAAAGGGGTTAAACTTACCTTTTTTCCAGGGCCGGGCGGGGAGCTCTCCGCCTCCGATCCTCCCATTCGGCTGAATGCGCACGCACGGCAAGAGCTGCGCGCGCATTCAGCCGGTCTCATAGGAAAGCATTCATAATGCTTTCCTATGGACGCTGGCGTCTTCTCACTGTGATTTTCACAGTGAGAATCACGCAAGTGCCTCTAGTGGCTGTCAATGAGACAGCCGCTAGAGGCTTTGGAGGATGGATTAACCCATTTATAAACATAGCAGTTTCTCTGAAACTATGTTTATAAAAAAAAAAAAGGGGTTTATCCTAGCGGGACCAGGCACCCAGACCACTTCATTAAGCTGAAGTGGGCTGGGTGCCTAGAGTGGTCCTTTAAGTGCAGAGTGTTCTTTTTTTTTAATTTTATTATTTACAAAAAAAGCGCCACTATTAATAGAAACTGGAGCTTTTATAAATTTACCTGGTGACACCCACCGGCTGTCCATCAGACAGCCGGTCCTGTTACTTTCTGGTTTGGTTAGCTTAGTGGCGATAAACTCAGGAGGCACCAGTTACCCAGAGCCACCTACCTTACAAAGACTTCTTGTTGAGCTGCATTGGAATGTCTGTGATTGTACAGCCACAGAAAATCTGGGATGGGGCCCAAGGGAGGACTTGCAAATTCTACAGATGAGACCTGTAGCTCTTGCAAGCTGTTTCATATATACCCCCAATAAATAAAGATGCAGAAATAATTGTATTCATGTTTTCACTGGGGGTATATCTACTAAATAGTCATATGTTGATATTTTTATTTAGATGGTTGAGTATCCCTTTAACCCCTTAAGGACACATGTCATGATTCCCTTTTATTCCAGAAGTTTGGTCCTTAAGGGGTTAACTAAATGCTGCAGGCACTATACCAACTTCATCTTATTGAGCTGTGTCAGTCACAGCCAGGGGAGGTGTGGCTAAGGCTGCATAAACAGAAACAAAAGTGATTCAACTCCTAAATGGCAGAGAATTGAGCAGTGAGACTTTTGGGCATGATGTGTACTCCAAAACTACTTTAAGATGTTTTAATGCTTGGTTATCCCTTTAAAAGTATCAGGGGCTAAGACAGACTTTTCTACTTAACTGTATTATATACTTTGAATGTTCAGAAGCACTCTCTACAGACTTAGTAACACCCCAAATTTCACCCTAGACAAAACCACTCCCATGGGCCCTCGGAAGTGCTGTGACAGGAGCAGTAGCTGGTGGACTTTTCAAGCTTCCCAAAAATTGCAGCAGCAAGGTGCTTGTTCTGCTGCCCGTGTGTGCTTTGTTCTGTCATACTGTAATTTCTGTAATGTCCACAAGATGGCAGGCTTGGATTGATATTGGGCAGTGCAAATACCGGTGAGACTAGAAAAATTAGAATATTGTGCAAAAGTTCATTTATTTCAGTAATGCAACGTAAAAGGGGAAACTAATATATGAGATAGACGCATTACATGCAAAGCAAGATAGTTCAAGCTGTGATTTGTCATAAGTGCGATGATTATGGCTTACAGCTCATGAAAACCCCAAATCCACAATCTTCGTATATTAGAATATTGTGAAAAGGTGCAATATTCTAGGCTCACAGTGTCCCACTCTAATCAGCTAAGTAAGCCATAACACCTGCAAAGGGTTTCTGAGCCTTTAAATTGTCTCTGTCTGGTTCAGTAGGAATCGCAATCATGGGGAAGACTGCTGACCTGACAGTTGTGCAGAAAACCATCATTGACACCCTCCATAAGGAGGGAAAGCCTCAAAAGGTAATTGCGAAGGAATTTGGATGTTCCCAAAGTGCTGTGTCAAAGCACATTAATAGAAAGTTAAGTGGAAGGGAAAAGTGTGGACGAAAAAGGTGCACAAACAGTAGGGATGACCGCAGCCTGGAGAGGATTGTCAGGAAAAGGCCATTCAAAAGTGTTGGGGACTTTCACAAGGAGTGGACTGAGGCTGGAGTCAGTGCATCAAGAGCCACCACACACAGACGGATCCTGGACATGGGCTTCAGATGTCTTATTCCTCTTGTCAAGCCGCTCCTGAACAACCAACAACGTCAGAAGCATCTTACCTGGGCTAAAGAAAAAGTCCTCTCT